CTATGTTTAGGAATCTATAGTTCATTTTTGTCCAAGATCTTGAAACATTTTATGTAAGATACTAGCTTGTTTTGGTCCAAATTATTGGAGTTGAAATTGTTTCAGATGCTAAGACTCATCTTTTTATGCAATGGGCTTTATTATGTATGTTGTAAACAATACATTTTTTGGTTGGTGTAACTTATGCAATATCATGTATTTATTTGTTTGCATAGACATGTTGATGTGATAATTTTTTTTTTTTTTGATATATTTTTTATTTATTTATAATATTAATAATTTACAAGTTTGCCACAAATTCTTATTGTGCACAATAAATATGTGGCCTATTTTTGGTATTTGCCATAATATATATTTTTGGCTATTTAATTAAATTTTATTTTATTAATAATATAATAGCCACGGAGTTTATCCGTGGCTTATTATATATATTCCGTGGCTTATTATATATATAGTTAAGAATAAACTCTGGCTTATTTTGAATAGTTGCCACGATATATATTTGTGGGCAATTAAAATTATAACTACGAATAAACTCTGTGGCCTATTTTGAGTATTTGCCATGAGATATATTCGTGGAATAAATTCCTGGGAAAAGACCTATTCACCTATTCTATCACGATAAATATTTTTGTTGCAAAAGAATTGAATTAGCCACAATTAGTTTTTATATTGAGATTTCTACCGGCCACGAAAGTATTGTTATTTAGCGATGAAATAGCTTGTGGCAATAGAAAATACCACGGAGTTCAAATTTGTGGCAAAAGGTCCACATTTTGGCATGAAAATTTTCAGTCGTGGTTATTGGCATTCTGTGACGTGGCTCGGTCCACGACCGAGCCACGAGCTATTTTTTGTGGCTAAAAGGCTTTCGCCACGAAATTTGAAAGTTTTTGCCACGAAGTGTCTTGTGGCAAGAACCCAAATTTGTTGGTAGAGATATTTAGATCTATGGTTGAAAAAAAAAAAAAAAAAAAATCTCAAATATTGGTTGCATGACGCTTTTATATCATTATTTCTTAGAATAATAATAATAATGATATCTATGATCCTACCGGGTCTGGCTTGCAAAATCAGCATGCGTACGAGCCCGTAAGAAGTTTGGAGACGGAGCATGGCCAAGTCAACACACTGAACCCATGTAACAGCTTGCCTAAGGATGGAAGTAAAAGTAAAAGAGAAGGAAACAAAAAAAAATTACTCACTATTGCCATCTTTTATCCTCTTTTGTTGATGGTCAAATCTGCATGCTACATGTTACAAATTTGCGTTGTTAAGTCACAGGTTGGATGTCACCGATGTATGTGGCACTGAGAAATACCTCTCTATGGTGGATTTATGTAGTTCGAAGTGTTAGTTTAGAGGATTTCTTTTCCAAGCAATTCGTGTCAAAATATAGAACTTTTTATATAGTTTTCAACTTGTGACTCTTTTGTATCATCCATACAAAATTTAAATAAAAATAATAATGGTAAAATATATAATAATAAAAATGATAATAATAATAATAATTTAATAATATTTATAATTTATGATAATGACACTTTTTTCGTCTTCTTTTGACTCCGTCTGGTAAGTATCTGATCATTATTGTTTTAAAATAAGCATCTAGATGTATGTTTTGGGCTTACTTTCGAATTTTCTATTTGATTGAGAAGATATAGAGTTGGTAATTTTGTTCTGTTACTTTTTTTATATATGTGTGTGTATTCGTGCTTGTGATTTTAATATTACTAGTATTATATTATTTGGTGGCCTAGTTAGTAAAGCGTATTTCTGTGCTGGTGCTCTCCTAAGCGGGTGTGTCCTTGTTTGAGTCACCTTCTGTGTAATTTGCTCGAAAATAAAAACGTAAAAAAGTTTGAGAGGTAGGCTTGATTCTGCTAATACTTGTGAAAAAAAATAAATTAGACAATATCCTCACTCACTGATCTGCTAAGAAAGTAACAAGCATGTCAATGATGGTGTACCCAATATATATATATATATGAAGTCTTTAGAAAGTCATAGGCATATTGATACTGCATGTTTTAAAGTGAATTTGGATACCCACTGGCTATGGGCATTCCTTCGTTCAAGACCATAAATGAAAACTTCATGGATGCACAAAACAATTGAAGGAGAGGAGGAGCAGTTACTTATGCATAGATGAACTTGTGAAACACCAACAAATGCTCTATGGTACTTCAAAAATAATTTGGGGTAGGAAGTATGTATCCACCTAGAGTGCATGAAAAAATAAAAAAAATGATGATGATTATAATACCAGGTTCACCTACGGCTGTTGCAGTTCCCACGATGACCTTACAGAGGGAAAGAAAGAAGTATGGATGTTGCCTGGGTTGAACGTGTCTCTGCAATATTATATAAAGCTAGTTCTCACATGGAATATCAATATTTTACTCTTCAATCGCGGCATTGAAATAATGGTAATCAAGGAGATTTTTGAGGAGAAGGAAATTACTTGAAGAAGAAATAATATCTCAAGTGAGAACTAAAAAGTCAAATATTTAAAATGGCAACTCTATTTTGGTCCATTGCTGCCATGTTATTGCGGAGGTTATAAATAATAATAAAAAATCTAAATAGGTCTGTAATTCAAGTCGAGGAAAATCACAAAGCTCTACCTTGATGCATCGAATGATTTGCTTGCAGCGCCTACCAAAATAAGAAATTATATATATATATATATATATATATATATATATATATATATATCCTTCATTTTAGAAATGAAATTGGAAGGGAATTTTTGGAGTTTCCATTCGGTTGAGTAAACTATACATGGGAGCCAAACAGCACGTAATGGATAAATTTGGAAGGAAAAAAAAAAAAAAAAAGTCAACATGCTTGCTGCTCCTTGAAACCCATTTCGCATGAATGTGATGACCATGTGATAGGGTCGGGATAGTTACCATGGAAAGCCAGCTGACAGAAGGTTCCCAGCCCATTATATCCAAGACCAGCATTTTTAACTTGGGTGGGCTCAAATTCTTCCACAAATGATGTTATCTAGCATGTTATTATAAATGTATATATATATATATATATATATATATATATATATATATATGGAGTAATGGCTGAAAGTGAATTGCTTGGGGTCACACCAAATAGATACATTTGGTCGAGATAGGACTAAGATACATCGGCAAACCAACAAATACTTCAAAGCTTGCTGTCCATGCATGCATGTTGTCAAGCTCTGAGGTGGGGGCAACTTGTAAACACCTAAAATATTTTTTGATTAATTAAATTCCACAAATACGGGTCCCATCAATGGACACGTGTCAAAAGAAAATGGCAGTTTAATTCAAATTAAATTCAAATTTGAATTTGAATTGATTTCTATATAAAAGGAAATAAATCCCTTATTTATGAAAAAAATCACACAATATTGGGGAGTTTCCAAATTGAAAACCCACTCTTTGGCCTATAAATACAAGGCCACCCCTCACATTTTGAGGACACACAGAGAAAGAGACAAACAGAACGTCGAAGCTCTGCTGAAGCTTTGACTCAACAAAACCTCTGAAGTTGACGTTGTTCTTCATCAAAGCCCTTCGACATTCAAAGATTATGAAGAATAACAAGCACACAAGTGTCGTTCTCCCTCAAAGACTTTTAAATCCACCGCTCGAGATCAAGCCTCACAGGTGAAGCCTTTGCGCCGACGTTGTTCCAAGGAGATTCAATCAGAGGGAGATTCTATACTATAATAGAATCGCCAAACAGAGAACTGTACTCATTTATTTTCTAATATTAATTAATAAAATTATAGTTATCGCATTTATTTTCGTTTCTGAATTTTCGAAATCAAAATTTGCGTGTACAACGAGCTTGTTCACGAGCCTAACGAGCCGAGCTCAATGATGTTTAAGCTCGACTCGTTTACTAAACGAGCCTAAAAATTGAGCTCGAGCTCGGCTCCTTTACTAAAGGAACGAGCCCGAGCCGAGCTTTTAACCAGCCGAGCTTAAGCTGTTCATGAGTTGCTCAGTTCATTTGCAGTCCTAACGACAGAGCTCCTTTAATTATCAACTTTTTGCGACAAACGTCCCTTCAATTAGTTTTTGATCCAAAAATTCCCTTCCAAAATACTGCAAAAAAGCTCCATACCAAGAGATTGTCAAGTTTTTTTTCATTTGTGATGTGAAATTACGAGAGTACTCCCTACTAATAAACATGAAAAAATAAAGTTGAGTTAATAAATGATATACCAATAAGGAGCTCAAAGTTAATTGATTACATTCAATAGGATAATATTTTTGTTTGGACTTAGGCAAGTGCCTGATCAGGTCATGTAGGAAATGGGACTTCCCTTTTGGTCCATGTCGCATGAGAAAAAAATTTAAATATATAAATAAATATATGTGCATATATATATATATAAATAAAGAAAACTCACATACACGACCTTCCCATTGAGAAGGCCAAGTTTGTAGCAGCTGGACTATTGCCCATTTGGTATGAAAAAAGCATATTGACTAAATGATTGTGAGGGTCCAAAGGCTTATACCCTTTAATTGATTATATTCAATATTATACTATTTTTATTTGGAATTGTTATTACTATTAGTTTTTTTTTTTTTTTTAAAAGAGAGAAAATTCATGTGACTAGTTCATTCATATGTAATTAATGAAAGCATGATGATTATGATGGATTACTATTTACTAGATAAATTTAGTAATTTCACATAAGAAACTAGCGAACTTGACGGCCATAAAATGCGAGGAACTTAGCAGGAGGTTAGCAAATTTTCCATATTCAAGGAATTTATTTTGTTAGTGCATAGATTTTTCTGCTACATATGTGTAGCTCTAGAAGATTATTTGCAATTTGCCCTAAATATAATTAGTAACACAACGAGGGGAACGGGGAGACAAGCTACAATGAACACATGCACAAACCCTAGTAAACCATACAGAAAGTTTGACCCGCCAATATGAAGAGAGGATGTAAGGTGAAAAAATCTTGAATTCGAGCCATATTCAGCGCATTATCTCCTTTCCGAGTATTCATTTGCTCCATTGACTGAAACGAGACTCTCCTTGTACATAAAAATCCTAAGGCTCTCCAGCTTGTACAGTCCACGATTTTGAAAATCTTTAGTCTCTTGGATATTAGGGTTGTATAAAACTAGGTCTAAAGTGGTAGTTTCTAAAAAAAGCTCACCATTTTTCCAAAACCCAAGTGCCCTTTCAACATCTAAAAAGGGTCCGATAGTTAATTCTTTGGTCCAACAGCTCTCCTCCTCCATCACCCATATGTCAAAGTATTTCTCAACCTCATGTGGATTAAAACTGATCACAGAAACAGAATCATTGTATATAATGAGAGTCCCCAAATTTAATATGGGAATATCTTGAGGTCCTAGTATATATCCAAAAAACTCATTACTCAAATCAAATGTAAGGATCGCATTGTAATAGTAAGTAGTACTCCAATCAAGCTTACCAAGCTCACTAGTCAACCAATAATATACTCCGTTCAAGCATGTGCTACATATAGAATCATGCACATAACAAACTCGAGTCAAATCAGCTTCAAAAATTCTCCAAGAATTAGTAGATAGGTAATATACTACAATAATTGAAGCATCATATGAAGAAAATCCTTCCGAATCCCAATAATTTCTAATCAAAACCAGCTTGTAATCATCAGTTGTGGGATCCAACCCAAATCCAAATTTATACTGAATAGGGCTAAAATCGGGTGGAATGTTGGGGTTTGGCATAGGGAGGTGTCTAAATTCTCTTGTAGCAGGATTCCATAGAATTATGCTATCATCCCAATCCCAAAGACCAAGTATGCCGTCACAGTGACCAATAATATCACGTGATTGACAGGGTTTCTGAATATCATAATATACAGGGGGAAAGCTAGCAAGCATTTCATCTGGGAACAAGGCAAAAACATGTGTTTCAGTGCTGTAATTGTAATGCTGAATAAGGAGACGGGCCTTGTTGCTATGATGGTTGATGTGCTTATTAACGAACGTAGAACTTCTAATGAGAGTATACCAATATTTGCAGACAGACTTAAATCGCGTAAGCGATTTCACAGGAAGCCTCAAAAGAATCTCAATTGTCAAATCTTCTAACATTTGATGACAGTCACTTTTGCTTGACATTAATCTCTGTGTGTGTATACGCACGAATATATGAGCAGGCACTGAATCAATCCTTTTGTAATTTGCAGATGCAATTCAGCAATTTGCCAAAAACCCTGCATAACAAATTTTAATCAGATTGAGAATATATGTCTCCTGGAATGAAATCAAATTATGAAAAATCATACAACTGTTTTTACTCATCTTTATAACAGAAAAGCTCAACAGATAGAAAAAAATAAAAAAATAGAATGACTTAATAGACAATGGCTTTTATTTGGACAAGAAAATGAGCTGTCCTCAAATTCATTTTGAATGTTGCCTAAGCATCAACCCCTCCCTAACTCTTTGAGAATTGGGAAGTATCAGTAAACAGTACAAAATCATGGCTCAATTATTATCATTACAAAATCATGGCTTAATTATTATCATTACAAAATCACCCAATAAATTATTTTAACTACTAGCCCATTCAATATAATTTCTATACAGACTATTATTAACAATACAGTTATTTATAACTGCAGTTATATATATATATCAAATAATCAATTGCACACATTTTTTTTGTCCACCGCTACAACCCTCCCTTCCTCTTTGGGAATTGGGAAGCCATACCATTAGTCTAGAGACCCTTTAATCTTATTAACAATACAATTATCATATCTAACTCTCAAGATATTTTAGTTGAGGCATTTGAAAGTGCATCTAAAGCATATCACTTTGCAATGAAAATTCAGAATTACAACTGAAGATTAAAGAACTAAATTCATGTGATCCTTATATGAAGATCAGGTTGTAAGGTTTTCTTTTTTTCTTTTTTTTTCTTTTTTTTTTTTTTTTTTCATGTAAATAACTGTCCTACACCTGAATCAAACCAAATCAGAATGAAAATCAGGATCTGAATCACTTATAAATAGAATTTTTCGTCAGTTAAAAAACATAAAAACCAAAATTTGTAGAAGACTAAACAAAATCTTTACCTCAGTTCCAGAAAAGATGAGGCGTGCTCTATGATGTTTTTTGATGTTGGTGGATGTTATGCTTTTGAAGCGTTAATAAACGTAGTGTTTCTACTCGTATGTCACGAAGAGAATCAATGAGATAATCAATGTTTCTTCAAACAACAAATGTGACTTGAAAGATTTATGATGCGGTCAAAAGGACAATTTCAGATCTCACCATGATGGATAGATATAAAAAAAAGTCATGATAATATGTCTGAATAAAACTCAACATTTTCTAAACATCATATAAAATTAAATATCCTAAGAGCTCCACGAAAGAGGGGAACAATAGACATGGGATTTCATGGATGGAGAGATCCTTTGATTGCGAGACATGAGTGGTGGATTTTTATTTGTTTATTTAGAAAAGTGCCTGAAAGAAGACGACTTTATTATTATAAATAGGAGTCAATATTCACACTCTACTTTTCTCTAATTGCACTACATTTACTTTTTGTTTTTTTAAAGGAAATGATAAGAAGGTCCTTCAATTCATTAATGTACTATTCCTAAATTTATAATATCATAATTACTCTTTATACAACTTTAACTTCTTCTTTTTCTTTACTTTATTTACTATTTTGTTTTTCTTTTCTATTTTTTTTCAGAGGTCCTCTCAAAGAAAATAATTTATTCCATACTAATAATTTAATTTTTGACAGTCAAAATATATAATTTATTCCATAATGACATTTTTTTTTTTTTTTCGAGTCAAATGAAGTAACTTTTTTTTTTTTGAATAATTTTTGTGGGTCCTGTCAAAAGAAATGATTTATTAGATAAAAATAACCTTTTTTTTTTTTTTTTTTTTTTTGGGTCTTTTCAAAAGAGATAATTTATTCAATATAAATAAAAAAAATTTAATCCTCTTCTTTTCATAATTTTTTTTTTTTTCTTTTTTTTGGGGATCTTGACAAAAAAAGATAATTTCTTCAATAAATAAATATATTTTTTTCATGTTAAAAGAGATAATTTTTTTAATGGTTACTTTTTATTTTTTCATCCAGTCAAAAGAGTTAATTTATTCAACATAAATTTTTATTTTTTGATCTGTAAAAAAAAAAAAAAAAAAATTAATTATTCTATTAATTTTTTGTCTTGTCAAAAGAGACCTAAAATAATAAAGATTGGAGATAAGGAGAGGAAATTTAAAAGGACAGTTTTGTTATTTAAAAAAATAATTAGTATTTACTTGTAAAGTTAGTGTTAGAATTGATGTTTCATTTAATAATTGTAGTGCAAACGTTGAAAAGTGGAGTGTGAATATCGCCTCCCTAAAAATAAGGATTAAAAAATTAAAAAATAATTAAAAGTAATTTTCTAGCATGTATTTGGTTGGAATGAAAATTTATTTAAGAAAATGTAGGAAAATATTTGTTAGTTAGTTTGGATAGCATGAGAGTGAAAAGAAAGTGATTATACATACTAAAATTATGATTTGAAATGATAATAAATAAATAAATTTGTAATTGATGATGTCGATTTTTAGTAAAAAAATAGTAAAATGACGGATTATAAAATTATTTAATATTTATTTCTATTATTTAGATTTAAAATAAGGCTTCATAATGTTTTTCTAGGTAGAACTAATTATTTGTTTAAGAAATACGAAATTTAAAAAAAAAAAAAAAAATTGATTATATGTGGTTTTTTTTGGGGCAAAATCATATATTGTTGTTGCCAAGTATATTATTATCAAATATTAGCTCAAACAAATATTGAAAAAAAAGTTACATGAGCCTCCCATCTATATATATATAGTTTATGCCCCCGCACACAAAGAAACCTAGTAAAAAATAAAGAAAGAAACAACTAAACAAATTGCCTCTTTTTTTTGGCAAGTTGTTTGGATAAAATAAAAATGAACTCAAAATATTATTTTCGTGTGTTTTATGTAGGGAAGTTTTGGGAGAAAATAGACAAGTGTGAGAAACTAATACATTTCTCTTTCCTTCTATCAAAACTCTAAATTTTTTTAAATATTTTCTATTTCCTTTCTTTTTTGGTTGATTCCATCTAACCAAACAAAGTCCTAAGAAATTATTTACACCTAAGGAAGAATCGGTTATGAGACTTGATGTCTTGTAAGACAAATTTGAAAAAGAGTCAGAAGAAATGGTTGAATAATTGAACCACAATACAATCTTTTCTAACTAGGTCAACCCCGAAAAAAAAAAAAAAAAAAAAAAAAAAATGCTTTGATTCCTTCTTCTTTTCATTTTGGTAATGTTGAAAACAAACAATTTCATTTTCTAGTGTGCATAGCACCCCTAAACGCTCTTGGGAATTTAGTTTTCTAGTTCTATGTAAAACAAAAAACATATATTATATATGAACTATAGATAAAAAAAATATATTATATATGCACAAATGCATATATTTAAATTCCCCTTATTCTTTTTACCTTAACGCTTCTTTTTCACAAATATATGCAAGAAATTTTTTTCATTCATTTTCATAAAAAATAATGTTGTATTTGGTGTGCATGAATGGAATGTAATGCAAGCGTGAATGAAATGAAAATAAGAATAAAATAAAATGGTCATTATCGTTCTATTGTTTGGTTGCAAATATGAAATGTGTTGGAATGAAATGATAATAACAATTTCAGTGTTTGGTTAAACCAATTTAAAATTTAGAGTGAAATAAATTTAAAATTGAATTATCCAAAATGCCCTTCTTATTGGCAAATAAATTAAATTAATAAAATAAAATTCTTTTATAATTTTTTCAAAAGAAATAGCGACGGTGGTCGATGGCGTTGAAGGTGGTGGTGGAGATGGAAAGCAGTAGTGGTCAAATAAATTAAATTAATAAAATAAAATTCTTTTATAATTTTTTTAAAAGAAATAGTGACGATGGTCGATGGCGTTGAAGGTGGTGGTGGAGATGGAAAGCAGTAGTGGTGTAGGTGGCGGTATTGGAAGGTGGCGGTGGTGGCGATAGTGGTAGTAGTGTGGTGGTGGAGGTGGAAGGAGATAGTGGTAGTAGTGGAAGGTAGTGGAGGTGATGGTGGTGGTAGTGGTGGGAGGTAGCGAAGGTGGTGGTGGTGGTAGAGGTGGTGAAAGTTAGTGGTGGAAGGAGATTGCGGTGGTGAAAGTCAGTGGCAACGATGGTGGTGGAAGGTAGTGGCCGTGGCAGCGGTGGTAGTGGATGGTGGCGGTGGTGGTTGAAGGCAGTGGCGGCAATGGTAGTGGATGGTGGAAGGCAGTAGAGGTGACGGTGGTGATGGTGGTGGAAAAAAGGAGTAGAGGTGTCGGTAATGGTGGTAGAAGGCAATGGCGACGATGGTGGTAGAAGGCGATGGCGACGATGGTGGTAGTGGAAGGCGGTGGCAACGATGGCGGTGGTGAAAGTTGGTGGTGGTGGAATGTGGAAGACGGTGACGGTGGCAGTGGTGGCGGTGGAAGGCGATGACGGTGGTAGAAATCGGTGGCAATGGCAGGGGCGGTAGTGGAATTCGGTGGCGATGGTGGAAGGTTGTGGAGGCGGTGGCGTGGTGGTAGTAAAAGGTGGCGATAGTGGTGGCATGGCAGTGGCAGTGGGTGGTGGAGGTGGAAGGCGGCCATGGTGGTAACTATGGAGGCGGTAATGGTGACAGGGGTGGTGGCAATGACAATGGTGGTGGTCAAAGGTGGTAGTGGTGACAGTGGTGATGTTGGAGGTAGTAGTGGTGGCAGTGATGTAGGTGGAAGGCAATCGCTACAAGAAAAAGGGCTTTTAACAAGGGGCGAAAAATAGTTCTACAATGGGCATGGCTAGTTGTGGTATCCCCTGTCGTTGTTGACTCAAGGTTTTCTACGACTGTTCCAGCGTGTTGTGGAAAGTGAACTTTCAGCAACGGTTTTAAACCGTTGTAGAAGTTAATAGTTCGACAACGGGCAATGGCCATTGTAGAAGGTGTAATTTTCTACGATGGACATAACCCCTCTTAGAAATGTAACTTTCTACAGTAGAAGTTCATACTTTGACAAGGGGTTGTAGAAGGTATGATTTTCTACGACAGACATAGCC